GCCGCTCGCCTTGGATGTTGTCCACCTCCATTGGCATGGGCCCGGCACTAGGGGGTCGGCCCTACCGTCTGTTATTTAGCGGTCCGTGCTACCGTCTATAAAATGACCATAAATTAATAGCCATATTAACCATAAAAGCTGAAATTGGGGCTCTGATGGTAGGGAGCGGATTGAGCAGTAATCAGGGCCCAGGGAGCAATAGGGAGCAAAGGGAGTGGTAATCGGGGCCTGGGGGGCGGATGGGAGCGGTAGGGAAGCATCACTAACTAGTAAAGGAGCGTCGCATCGCCAAGAACCTCTCTTCGGGCCCACCCCATCACCGACCATGGCGCTCCCTCTCCCGCCGCTTGGGGCCAGGGCCAGAGCCAGTGCGTGGCGCAACAGGCTGGGGAGAGAGTGCAGCATTGTGGGATTCCACCGGTTTGCCTTGCCGTGAGCCCCAGGGAACATTTCTTGCGGCCTGGGTGGGCACAACTACCAAACGAATGGCGCCTTGTGGGCGCCCACTCTCCCGCCTGCGTGGGTCTCGATTGGCGCCCACGGGTGTTGGGAGAGGGCGCCCGCAAGGCACCATTTTCTTGACAAAAAACGACACCTCGTGGGCGCCCACTCCCGCCACCCACGGGGGCCAATCGAGGCCCACGCGGGTGGCAGGAATGGGCGCCTATGGCGCATCATGTTCCTGGCAAAATGGGGCCTCACAAGCGCCCACTCTTGCCACCCGTGCGGCCCTCAATTGGTCGCCACGGGTGGCAGGAATGGGCGCCCGCAAGGCGCCATTTTCTTGAAAAAAAACAGCACCTAGTGGGCGCCAACTCTTGCCACCCACGGGGCCCAATCGAGGCCCACGCGTGTGGTGGGAATGGGCGGTTGCGACGCGCCATGTTCCTGGCAAAACGGCGCCTCGCAGGCGTCCACTCCTGCCACCCGCACGGCCCTCGATTGGTCGCCGCGGGTGGGGGGAGTGGGCGCCTACAAGGCGCCATTTTTCGGTCAAGTCTAGCTACCCGTGGGCTCCGACTCCTGCCACCCACGGGGCCCAAGATTGGCCCCCATGGATTGCGGGAATGGGTGCCTGCGAGGTAGCAATTGTGCGGCAACTGTGGCCCCTCGTGGCTACCCAGTCCCATCACCCACGGAGGCTAGTCCAGGTGACTGCAGGTGGCGGGAATGGGCGCCCGTGAGGCGCCAATCAATTCACCTATTCTGAGGCTCTCCTCCACCGCGGCAAGCCGTGGGGTGCCTGCAGAGGGCCGCTCGCTGTGTTGCTACTGCCATTCTTCTCGTGTGGCCGCAACGGTACTCCGCAGGATCACAATGGTACACACGGTACACTGCCCCCCCAATTACTGGATAGTACGGCAGGTTCTCAGTTTTTAATGGACGATACAACGAAAATTTTGGAAGTACAGTATGGTAATTTACGGATGGTAGCGGGTGGCCAGCACAGATCTCTATCTGGCACGCAGTGTGTATCACGGCCCCGCCGGGCAACCGCTGGTTTTCGGATGCGCTGGGGGTCGCCCTGCAACTCAGCGTTGGAGATTTGCCGGCCTCTCCACCTTAGACGGTGGGCGTATCCAGGGCGGCCGGTTGGATGGTCGCACAGTGGGCCTAATTCATGATGGGGATCATTCCCCGGGGCTTGCTATCAGCGAGAGGTGATGGCGCAGTTACGGGGGCTCGCTGGCTTGTGGGAGGCCAGAGAGTGGGCCACGAATGCAGTTGCAAAGTCACAGCATGCGCACACACTTATTGCATGTGCGATCAGCCCAAACCCGCGGTACTAATTTCCATTTTGACTTTGTCAATCGTTAAGGATCAGTTGCGACCAGTTGAGGCGCTCTGAACGGCAGCTATGAGAGTTTCTACAAGCGCATTTGCATGGCTGGCTGGCAGTGGGACGTTTGCTACCCGTTTGAAGCTTCCCCTTGTTGTTGCTGCTGTCTTTGTTGGTCGTCGTTGGCACGACAAGCTGCTCTTCATGAAGATCCAGTTCGCGAGAGGGGCAAAGGTTGGTCGTTCAGTGAACCCTCAACTGACGTGTTGCTGAGGCTGTCGACAGGGCTCAACTGCCCGTTTGAGGGTGGCTTTACTGCACTATCTCTGGGGTTGACGGCCAGAATGGACCGCCACCCTTTGCACTGCGGAGACCTGCAGCATTGGCCACCCCTTCTATGGAATACTCCATACATATCTGACATCTATCGTATTGATATTCGTACATTCGCATACCATATTGATGCGAGCGCCCTAGAAATGGCGGGAGCAAAGAGCGGCATCTCAGGGAACATGCCGAGGCCCATTGGGCGGCGATACACTTTTGTGAAAAGTGGTATAAGGTTCAGTACTCTACAGTACTTGCTTGCACTAAATTCTCCTGAAAGGCTGTAGGTGCGGAACCGCCTTCCCCATCAACGCGGCATTTGTTGAGCACTGAGTGCACCCATGCAACGTTTGGAACACTTGCCAGCACGAGAAGTATTGCAGATTAGAACGCACCTTGCTGGAGGGAGTTCGGTTGCTGGGGTCCTGGGATCTCTTCCTGGCAGCGACAGCCCACCTGTGCCCATGCTTTGTTTACATACTTCTAAGTACTGAAGCACAACTGAAGTATGTCGATAATGATCACATGATGACCCTGTGCCTTTCAAAGTTTGACTGCGACAGCCGTTCTTGCTGCGCGGCAAAGTGCCATGCACACGACTGCTCAGGTAGCCGACCTGCCACTGAGCACAATCAATAAACAGCTCACAGTCAAGCGTTATTGTAGGCAACCAACACAACCTAAGGCACCCTCAACAAGTGTGGGAGCCCTGGCGCACCCAACAAAGGTTCCAAGCGTTCAGACTCAATGGTTCAAGCTCGGGAACGAACCGAGCCTCAGTTCCCTGCCCTCCATTCCCATGGCGCCCGCAAACCCCCAAAAACCCCCGCAACCAGCGCTTTCACGCCCTGGGCCTTTGTGAGCGTTCATGCTGGAACACGAGTCAGGCATGAACGCCGTTGGTTCTGATTCGCATGTGCTGACCATGGCCATCGCGAAGGCAATGGCCATGATCGCAATATGGGGAGGTCGCCACCATCTTTATCCTTTCCAATCGTTCACAAACATCACCTCGTATTGCTGTCCACATTGGCCACAATCTCCCAGCTGTGCCACCCTACCCCGCCCCACCCCGCCACCACTACCCCACCCCGCCCTGCCTCAATCACCACCTCCAAGCTCCTCACTCTTGTACATAAGCCTTCAGGTTTGATAATCACCAGATTCGGTTCAACGCAGACTTAGGTCTGCTCTGTTCAGCAAATATCTATACCACGCCGCACACAACCTAATGAAGATAGCCAGAAGCCACAGCCGGGTGAACCAAAACACACGATGCTGAGGTGGCACTCATAAGCATCCGACGCAGCTGCCAAAGCAGGCGCACAATGGGTTCTGTGCTAAACGGAGCTCATTAGACCCCACCAACTGCATCATGTCAGGCTTCCCACACAGCTTCCTGCCTTATTCAACCCCTATATCTGTACAAATATACATGTGCCCAGTTTATCATCCAGCCCCTCATTCTCAGTTGCAATAGCTCCCCTTCCCCATGGGTTCTCTCATGGGTTCTGTACCCACAGAGGGGCTCCATTTATTGTGCCCCTAGTCTTCTTATGTCGTTTTTCTCCTTCCTCCTCAAAGGACCGTTAGAATAAGGAATATGCAATGGCAGAAATAGAAAAGAACAGGTTTTCTACACATACAAGCAATCTTCCAATGAAATACTCCCCTTCGCCGCTGGGTACCCACGCCCAGCCCTGACCAACCAGCATACCAGGAGAGGTATATGGCACCCCAATATTGCTCACTAGTAAGGACAGCCTCTCTTTTCTCCATTCCTCACAACAGAAAAAAGGTATCTTCTCACCAGTCAACAAGTTCTGCGGATCAGAGAACTGAACACCACTAGCCCAACCAAGTGCGCCGGCAGGCCAAAAGACTGCCTTCCTCACACACATTCAATATCTAACAGCGATGGCAACCCTAATTGTATGGGTACGATCTGAATAGGTCCTAAAGTTCTCGGCAATGGCAACATCTATTCTCGGATATGTGCAGCGTGCTCGCCTTGTATTGACCAAATATTATCGGCAGGAAAGTCAGCTGACATACTTCCATGATGACCCCACTGTCAATTGGCAGCACGGAGATGTGCTCAATTGATGCTGCTGCAGGAACGTCCCCCAAAGCTGCTGCCATAAAAATTCTGAAATCACTAAAATAAAAAGAGTTCAAGTAGTAGTTCAAATTTCTGTGGTTCCACAGCTGTCAACACCGTCATCGCGTGCCAGCAACGAGATGTTGTCAAGCGATGCAGCTGCCAGAACATCCTCCAAAACTGCAACCCTAAAAGTCCTAAACCCATAAAGCCCCAGTTGAGTTCATATACCCGGTTCTGCTGCCTTAAGCAGCTGCTGGTTATCGAATTGTTTGCAAAATTGACGGGCCCCCCAATTCTCTGCGATTGTGCACCTATCCCATAACACCTCTGCATATGCCCAACCGCAGTGACATGAATGGCTATAATTTTTCCTCCTCTTTGCATTCCATGCTGTTTCTGGCATCGCCGCCATCTGGGGTCAGATTCCCCTTCCCCAACGCCATCACATCTTCAAGCATCCAATTCAGACTGCCGTTTTGGAAGGAAAATGCCCCGTGTGGAAAGCAAAGGGTGGAAAGAGAGTTCCTTGGACGGCCTCGAACCGGGGCTTCTCCCGAATGAGAAGCTTGCACAACACTCAAACCACCTGGACAGGGCACAGCGATTTCACCCCATCCCTGGCTACAATATTAACTAATGAACATTTCGTGGCCAAATCACCCTCATGCCAAACATTCAACCCACACAACCACCCCAGACAAGCGTTCATACCCCTACGCGACCCCTCGTTTTTTTCTCCTCCCACCATAGAGTAACTGTGTTGATTTCGTTGACCGCAACCCGCCTCCTTCACAGCGACACCCTGCTGCTGCGGGGGAAAAGCTCGCATCCCTGGCACGGATCATCCAGCTGGCCGCTCCCGCCACTGCTCCAGCCGCCCAGGAGCAGTCCGGGAGGCACCTCAATGTCGCGGTTCATTGCCAGGAACGGCGTGCCAAGGCCCTGCACAGCCCTGTTTGCAGCAAAGTCGAAATCGGTTGGGCGATCTCCCAGCCCGATGGCACTTCCCCCTCCAGCCATATCCAACTGGGGATGGCGCTCAGGCGCCTGGCACAAGTGGGGAAAGCAGTCCTCCGTGGAGTCCCTTGCGCTGCGCGCGCCCTGGGCTTCGCTGGCGCTCAGCGCCCGCTCAAGCGCCGCGAACTGCTGGGCCTTGCTCTGGAGCGAATCCAGGGACCTCGACCTCAGGCTGCCCATGCCATTCACTGACACAGATGAACCAAAAAGTGCGGTTAGATGTTGAAAAGCACAAGTTAGGATCCAAGAAGCGCCATTTGGATGCCAGAAGACAGCGATTTATGTTGAAGAGGTGGTTGCAATAACGCTGTTCATGTTGCATGATTGCATTCGGAAAGAGGAGGGGGAACAAAAAGATAAATGTTGCGTGATTTAGATTGGGTGGTCTGTTCCCCTTTCACACATGATCTGCTTGGTAAGTCGTTTCCAGCAAGTCAAGCCATTAAAAATCGACTGAATCATATGGAGGGATAACTTAGTCGCAGCTTGCAGCATTCTATTATTCACAAATAAATTTTGCACTGTTACAACTATACACTTGGGCTGTAGCACCCACAACACAGCGCCCACCTCGCCCTCGGCAAGAGCAAAGACGTAATCGAGGAAAAAGTCGTTTCTGTCCATTCCAGCGCGTCTAGCTGCCACTCCCCGGACCCCCTGAGTGTACATGTGCTATCTTTTGTAGACAGGGACAAAATTTACATATTTTACACGTATTTACAGATAAAAACGTAATACCATTTTACGTGCAAACACCCAATGTTTACGCTGTAAATACCAAGCGTGCTTGCAACCACAGTGAAGTTGCGACACATTGGCCATGCCAAGTGTCCCTAGTCAACTTAAATCGCCAGACAGCGTATGGTCCCTGGCGGCCCACAATGGCCTCACAGCGCTGGCCAAAACCCACAGCAAGCCCCACAATGGAAAACACATGCACGCATGTCCAGATTAGTCGATTTGGTTCTGCTCCTCAACATCTGGACATCACGGGCAACTGATGTCAACAACTGACTAAAACCTTAGCCATTTATTTCAGTTTTTTACTTTTTGGAACAATACAAAGAACGGGCAATAGTAACAAACGTATAATAAATAAATAAATGAATGAGTAAACAAATGAATGAATGAATGAATGAATGAATGAGTAAATAAATAAATAAACAAATAAACAAATAAATAAATAAATGAATAAACAAATAAATAACGGACAATAAACAAATAACGGATCGCGGCCGCACTTTGCCTGGTGGCGCCGCCGTCAGGCTGCGCGCTCACAGCCAGAGAGTCGATGAGCTGCAGGAGCGTCCGCGTGGCGTCATCATCCCTCTGCGTGACGTCATCTTCGTAAACCGTTCCGACTGAGTCCAGTGACGATCGCCGTGGACCGCGAGCGTTCGCAGGCCAGGCGCCCGCTTGGGCCAGGGGGCCCATTGGCGACTGGGGGCTCCAGATGGATGCGGACACCGGCGTGATGGGGGAAGAGACGAATGGGTCCACGGCCGAGGGGCAGGACACGGGCGGCACCTGTGCGCATTTACATGAATGGTTAACATGAATGAATAAATGAACAGTCTCTCCTACCTCGGGCGACGTCGCCGGAATTCCCTGTCGGTGTGTGGGTGTGTGGGTGGGGTGGTGGGGTGGTGGGGTGTTGTGTGTGTGTGTGGGTGGGTGGTGTGTGTGTGTGTGTAGGGGGGGAAGGCGACGTCGCCGCCCCGGTGCCCGTGGCATCGGTGGGAGAACTGAGAGTCCTGCTGACGCCGCCGACGGCTCCCGCGACCACGCCATCCTCCATTGCGGCAATCCCGATCACGCTGCGGACGCTCGGCCTCGGTTGGGCCTTTTCTATGAATAGTTTACACAAATGAATTACACGAGTGGTTCATGATTTTATAACAAGCGAGAAAAAGGACAAGACAAATGGAATGATATCAGGTGATGCAAAGCTAACACAGGCATCAGGGACGGGCCTAACGGCATGGGCACCACGGGGAAGGTGCACTTGCCAGGCAGAAGCAAGCGCAACTGAGCCCTAACGGCTCGCAACTCTGGGCTGCTGTATATAATGTCATTTCCACACTCTTGCCGAATTGGCGTCAAGATCCGCCTGAATGGAGCCGTCTTCTTTGGGAGCCCAATGTTCAGTGAATATTCCTGCCATGGACAGCAATAGAACATGCATACGTATAACATACAAGAAAATTTTGCGATCTTCACATTTGACAGCGGCGTCTGATCAAAACCATCAGAGAGGAAACAAAGAACAAGAACAAGAGCGACTAAACCGAGAGTAAGAGTCAATGGACGGAATGGCAAGCATTAAAGAAAACAAAAAGGCGCAAAAAGAAGCGAGCAATCAATCCCTGCAATCAGTTGCCTCAACGATTGAGCGAGCGACTCGTTACAAAGAAGAGACTGGTCCGTATCTTACATGGCAATCTATTTCCCACTTCTAGAATACAAGTATAGTTTTAGTAATAGTTTATACAATGCTTCCTCTGTCTCAAATAGAGGGCATTCCATATTAAATGTCCTTTATTTGAAAGACAAAATTCGTTACCAAGGCACTTGCAAATTTACAAAAAGTCATAATCGGAAAATTTGGGTCCGATAAAACTTAGGCACCAATTTCCAAGAGAAAAAGTGAGCCCCAACCCTTTGAGAGTTGGGCAAAAGGTAAATTTTGGCGAATTCTGAGCGAAAACTCCAGGTGTACGATGTAAAAGAGGCTTGCTACAACTGATTCCAGACTTTTAATTCCTAACGGATTGACTTGATTTTCGGATAGCATACTCCAAACTCACATG